AGGTAAAGATAACAAAACATGAACACTGAGCTATCTCCAAAAAACACTAGAACATGCTCAAAAAGACATGGCAAGATTGCATATAATAACAGTTTACAGACTTAGCAGAAATAATATCAGGTTGCAATGTTTAGAGCTATCAAACAACATGTTACAGAAACTTATCATGACAAATAAAGACATGGCATGCTACTACTAAATGCATAAAACAAAAGTCCTTTACTGACCATGAGCCAAAAAGGATCAGAAGATATGATGGCACCCATGTAAACATGACAAATGATATGACAGATTCAAACATGCCAGAAATAACAATAAGTAGGCATGTTGATGAGCTTGTACCACACACCACAGAGCATTTCATGGCATGACAAGGCAACCAACAGTAAAAATACATGTTTATGAAGCTAAGCATGGCAAGAGCAAGTTCATAGATTGCATGGATCACTAGCAAAGCTCACGGCAAAACTGAACTTAATGTTAACAGGCTGACATCAATATTATTTAGCAATTTGAGAGCAAGATTACAACAAGCTACAGCAAGCTAAAAATGCAACCAGGGGCCTGGATGGGTAGATCATGACATGTAGAACAAAAGATCCTTAGTGAACGTCTCCATATTATGCACAGAATGACTTGTAGTAGAAAGTTTACATAGCATCACGAAATAACATATTCAGCCTAGCAAAACAGTAACAACAAGTACCCTATTTAACAAGCTCGATGAACTCACTATAGGACTCACAACAATACATGAATTGCACCTTTGTAAATATGACATGATGTAGTTCAAAACACATGTAGACATCAAGCTCATAAGATGCACACACAAAATGTAACAAAAAATAACAAAACATCAAGTTCTGTTAACAGACAGCAGTTAACATCATATAGCACTTTTGCAACGATGATTCGGGTATCAAGATGATCTCAAACAAGCATGGCACAATTGAACCTATAAACTTCGCTAGGCAACCCGCCTCCCTGGTTCACCTGCGTCGGGCGATGAATTTGGATCGCACGATCCATTGCATCGGGTACGTTTTACAGCGCTGTCAAATTTCCAGCCATCGGTTTCTCTGCACGTTGTGGTTGTTTGCTCAAGTGGATGGCAGGTGGGCCTTTTTGTCCGCGTCTCAATTTTACGGTGTGTCTGGCGTGTGTGCTGGGTGAGAAAAAGCGGTGGACTGCAGCGAGGGCGGGATGGGGTGGATTGCAGCGAGATTAGATTGGCTCTCTCCGATGAAAATATCTCCCCCCTCTCTCCCTGGTCCACTTCTCCGTGCTGCTGCCGCCGACGCCTCCGCTTCCCCCGTTCCTCGCGGCCGCCTCGTCCCCTCCGCCTTCAGCAGCTCCTCCTCCCCCATCCTCTCCGCCTCCAGCACCTCCTCCTCCCCTTCCTCTCCTCCTCCCCTGCCCCCGAAGCCAGACCACGTGACGTGGATAAGGAGAGGCAGGCGGTTCTCCTTCCATGGCGGCACCCCGACCTTCCGGATCTTTCTCTTCGTCAGTCCGGCGGAGAGGAGTGGTAGATTCGTCTCCTCTTGGGCATCATCGGCCAGAGAAGTTATTTTTTTCATCTAGGCCGACGGATGGGGTAGGCGAAGAGGAGTGGCGGATCCGCCTCGATTGCGCTCTCCTTCGTTATGCCCGCGTTGCTTCCATTCTTGCGCTAGTGCTGCTGCTATGGAGGGCTTGGTTTAAGGTATGTTGCTCCTTTTTCTTGTCTCTGATGCAACCCCTGTTCTTTCTCACCCTTGTCGCCGCCCAGGCAGAACTGAAATCTCCCACGCGGTGGCAGCCATGAGTAACGGCACGATCTGGAGGGGAGTAGCAATGGCGGCCTCTTCTTCTTCGCGCTTGGTGGCCTTGCGCAGCTCCGCCTCTTTTCCCGCCTCCATCCCACGCGTGCAGCATCCACACGCGTGCAGCATCCACATGAAGGCAAGCGAGCACACATGGTGAGAATCCCCAGCGTCCTAAAATTTGTTGTTTTTTGGGTCCAATATGAATATATATGGGAAGTTGATGCAGAATTTGTTCTTATAGAAATAGACATATCAAGTGGATTTTCTCTCACCTCAACGCTTACTGAATTCAGTACCCGAAGAAGCCTATTATGCCACTCATTTTGTACCACCAGTGTAAACATTGAGAACTATATGAATTGATGCACCTTGTGGTCGGAAAAGAGGTATATCCCTGTCTCCTTTTCCTAGCACTTCTCATTTATGGAACAATTCATTCCCTATACAGTATTTAAATATCTTTATATTTGTACATAACTTGTACTAGCAATTCATGGCTTTTGAAGTAATCGAGTGAAACCTACTCTTGCAGGCTCTTGATTGTGTGGATATTTTGCAGCTTTAGAATTATTTTATTCTCGCCTTATGGCATCAAGGTGCAGCTGCTCATATGATTTTCACTCACTGTTGATGGCAATGCACTATCTTTACAAAGAGTTCAGTCATGCACTTGATTGAATACAAGCATGTCTCTTATATGGTAGATAATATACAATGCTTGCTTTTGTTCTGTTGCAAGAGGGATGGGTATGCTTTGCACTTAATGCATATTTGTTGTGTTATCTACATTGAAAAAATTGGCTTTATTGAGTCGATGGGTCAAAACAAAATGCTAGCGAGTATGCTTTTAGATTTCTTATTTTCTTATATATATTTATTATGTATATAAAGATCTACATTATTTATATGCCATTGTTATACTTCTCAGTTGCAGACTGATTATTAATTGTAGCTTCTTTGTTTAGAAATTGGCTTGATCTTACTCTCATTCTTTCTTTTCTCAGGAGCACAACATGGATTGGAAATAAATGCCTTTTCCACAAGCCAACTGACTACATAAATTCTGGTGGTACCTGCCCGCCAACTCCAAAGCCTGTTCAATTAAAAGTGGCTGCTCAACTTGGCCTCCTGTAGCACCTCAACCCTCACTTGCTACCTTCGCCCTGTCCACATGCTTAATTTAAACTATCTTTCGTCTTATGGTGCCCATTGGAAATCATTTGTTGTAGTATTATTATTTGCAGATTCTTCACATTATCTACTTGACTTTGTGTGCATGCTTAATTCAAATATCTTTCATGTTATTGTCAATTGTTTTCTAGCTATATAATTATCGGTCTTTTTAGTTTAAGTAGACCATTACATGTACATATGCAGTTCAGAGTTATGACCTTATATGAAAAATGTTGTTGCATAGTGGACTCTATTGGACCCACCTGTTGCATGGTTTATATAAATTAGATACACTAATTGCTGCTGTGCCAAAATTACAGACGCCATTTTGCCTTGCTGCAAGGACCACTTTATAAAAATCAAGGATTGTTTGCATGTATGATTCTTCAGGTCCGATGTAATGTGCACAACTCATGCTGGCAGAGAATAAAGGAGGGTTGTGGTTTCTGGATGTTGAGACCTCCAGTTTTGGGGAATGGTAAACTTTAATTTGGAGATGGTGTTTTCTAATGTATTTGTACAGTTAGATATCATATTAGATTTTTTTCTCTTACTTGGAACTCCTGCCACGGAAATCATGTTGTCTTTGATTTGGTGTGGTAGGTATATAAAATATACTGGCCGACTTCCTCCTCTCACGAACCACACTGACGCTAACTTTTGGTTTCTACCATGTACAAGGGTTATTTACTATGGACGAATATGGAACGTCCATTAGGAGTACATGCTTTATGACGCTATGTCTCTGCTACAGTTATGACACTGTTGTTGTACCTTCTACTACATCTATTTGATGTATATGCTTTTGTAGAATACTTGTTCCTGTATTATATACTAAATTTTCTTGTATACTACTCCCTCCGTTCCTAAATATTTGTCTTTCTAGACATTTCAATAAGTGACTACATACGGAGCAAAATGAATGAATCTACACTCTAAAATATGTCTACATACATCCGTATGTGGTAGTCTATTTGAAATGTCTAGAAAGACAAATATTTAGGAACGGAGGGAGTACATGGCATGGCTATAATTAGTAGCTGCACTACACTCCTGAAGCTTTTTTTAACTGTTGGGAGACACAGAAGTTTTTCAACCTTCATTAAGTTTACATATAAAGAGCTCTTCACTTTGAAGATTTGAAAAGTTATGTCATGTGATACAACCCTCGTTTCTAAATGTGCTATGAAAGTGTCTGAACCTGCATTTTATCTCAGAATGGCAAAATCACACCAATAGATCATCATTCAAACTAAACTGGACTTGATTTCATCCATGCGCAAAACCTCCGTCGGGAATTTAGCTCATGGCTAATCAAATAGGTGATTATCCTTAGACTGTGTAGAGTACTGGAAAATAGGAAAACACTAAATAATTATTTTTGGGAACATATCTTCAGTTTGAAGTTTTGCCATGGTGTTCCGCCATTCAGGCAGGGTGGAGGCGGCACACACGGGCACCTCTGCTAGACAGTCCACAGGATGATGGTGTGATGCATACGAGGATAGTAGCGACGCCGGTGGAACCCCTCCCGGTCGAGTCCCCCACCCTGGTGGCTGCCTACACAAGGGGATAGCTCGAGTGACCTCTCCCAGTTGGAGATGCCGACACAGGTGAGATATATGTGTTCAGTCTAATGAAATCTGATTTGCTTCTAAACAATGGAGAACTTGTTTGTTTCTCTCTCAAAATAGATTTCAGGCTATGGTTTTAGTCTTATGGTTTAGATTAGGGACTATTTAAAGGTGGTTATATAGACATAACAACTTACACTTATGTCGTCCTTTTGTAACTTGACTTTGTTGTTGTGTTTTTGGGCTAGCAGCTCTTCATATAGCTTTTCATGTGATTATTTGAATCATGTCCTAATCTTCTGATTGTTTGATAGAATTTATGGATTGCAAAGTTAGTACGGGTGGGATTGTTTCGGTGCTCATGGATATATTATATTTCAATGCATGTTGTTAATTTAGATGGCTCATGTTGTCAATTTAAAGCAGCTTCAGGTTTGACACAAATATGACATCAACTGTGGCAGACGCGGTCTCCTCAAGCCATGCCTTCCTCGGTGCCGACAGATCTTACCACCATCACCACCATTGGGGGAGGCCCCTAATTGAGATGCATCTCCGCCAGATCGAGAGGCGACTGACCACACTAGATCTAGGTACTGTTGGCTTGAAATTGGCATGTGTTAATTAATGATATGTCATGCTTGCTTTGAATTCTTGGTTCATGGAATGAATTTGTAGTGTTGCAAGCTTTAGATTGCATAACCTACAGAGGTACGTAGGTATTATTACCCTATGTCATTGTCCATTTTACTTTCATTTGCGGTTGCACACCATCGGCTTGGTGGAATTTTCAAAAGTTTTTTTGCTGGAGGTGTCGGTCAATGTGATAAAAAAAATTAGCTACCTTAAGCTTGTCATATCGATTATTGAAAGGTGCCATTTCCTTAGTCATGAAAGGTACATGTGTGTATTGTAGAAAATTCCAATGTGCTCTTTACTTGCTATGGAGATTTGGCAAGTGGAAATCGCTCTTTCCTCAGTTGAAACATTTACTTAAGTAGTTTCACTTCCATACTTAATTTTCGTTGGAAGAGGAATGAACTCAGTACTGAATAATGCGGTATTTGCATCGATTGTTAAACTATTTTCATAATATGATCATGCTTTGGATGGCTTTGACTTTTGACTAATTATGTCACTGTTTCCAAATTTGATTTGTATGTGCAATTTAGAGTTATCCAACACCCAGACTGTGCAAAAAGAGATGATGACTCATACTGTCAATGGCACCATGAATATACATACGCAAGGCTTCCCCTGTCATGAGTGTGTATATTATATGTCTTCTCATTTATTCAAAAGAGTAAACTTTATGTTTTCTTAGAGTGTACATTGTGTTCGTCCCAGAGTGGTTCAACAAAGAAGTTCAGGAGATGGACATGTTTTTCAATTACTGTCTATTGTAATTCCATTAATTGGAGGTACTGACACTATAAACAACAGATTCTGGCATATTGATTCAGATTCTGGATCAATATCAGGTGCCAGTGATGTCGCTGATGCGCTACTTCTATTATGCAACAAAGCAGGTCATCTTAAAGGTACATTTCTCATAACTACATTTCTAAGTCATTCATGGATCGTTTTCTCCTGCTTATTGTTTCATTTTTCTTTGTGTAGGTATCAATACACTTCAATATCTAAAATAAATCCGATAGCAAGTTGAGAGTTTTTTGGTTGTGAATGATTCTTAGCGAGAGTTCTAATTTCTGATTGCATGCCGCCTTCATTTGATGTATTTGAGAACTATAGAGGTTCACTGATAAATCTGTTTACAATTTTACTCCCCTATTTTTTTTGCTCATTGCATGTCCATTTTTCAAAATTTGTAATTTGGTGGTGTTTTATTTCTTCTGCACAGGTTGCTATTTAGACTGTCATTTACTTAGCAGTTTCTGCAACTTTGCTGCTTCTATCTGACTAGCGGTGTAAGGTGGCATGTATGTTGGCCATCAGAACTTTCTTTTCAAGTTAGGACTTCTATTGGAGCATATATTTTACTGGTACATTCTTTTACTTTTACGAGGGCATATTTTTCCTGGGCCCTGATGGTTTCTTTTAATATATTTCAGATATGAGTGGTCAATGTCATTGGATACACCTTTCAGGACTGGGATATACTCGATTTGGGAGAACATGGGCTTCTTGCTTCTCTTTCTATCAATTTACCAGCACATAGATCCCCCACTTCCCGTCAGAGCAAAGTGGCATACCGAAGCTAAAGAAGAAAAATTTATAAGGACCATGGATAAAGTTAACACCATCTTTTGTACCCAATTTTTTTTGTTATGTGGTGCCCATGTTATTATATATTGTGATGTGGCACTATGTCTAAAAACACCAAATTGTGACCACTAATTTTTGTTATGTTATGAGATTATAATTTAATATGTATTTATATCACCTCCAAGATTATAAATCTTATGCTAAATGTTATCTATAGATATGCAAATAACTCTCAGGTTAAAATCGGGTATAGGTCCCTTTGTCTAAGTTCCAGCTGACCCTGCTGTGTTGTATTGAATTGTATATGTTCCATTTGCATGCTATCCCTTGAGTTAGGAGCTATGTGTCTATTAAATTGGTTCTAAATCATTCTCCATGAATGCTCGTCTCGCTATCGCTTTTTGCGCCATGGGCGCAACGGGTCACCTAGTGGAATTAAATGAAGAGCATCTCATGATGAACATTTTGACATATCATATGCATGAAACAGAGCTATATGCAAGGAGTTATGGCATGTTGAACAGGGCAATAAAATGCACAAATCTCAGGGACTTAGGAATTTTCGGGGTCAACCTCGAAAACGGATCTGGATCTGGAGTTCGCCGGAGTTCGCTCGCCGGAGCTGCGGGAGGAGGTGGCTGGCGAGGAGGGACGGGGAGGATGCCGGCGAGGCCGGGGCCGCCGGATCCGGGCGGCGCCGGCCCGGATCTGGCCGGAGGCGGCGAGGGGGCGTGGCACCACATGACGGCGGGGCTCGCGCGGGACGGCGGACACGGGCGGCGGCCGGCGGGCGCGCGGCTACGGGCG